TTGCTGGTTTTCGTCTATTGCTGCTTCCACTACCTGGTGCTGGCCTCACTTGCTCGTTAGAAGTAGATGGCCTTAAGGGAGATGCTTCACGATTATGTGTTTGCCCATCATCAATAGAGTCTCGGTCACTGTTATCCCCTTGCATGAGATTGTCCTGGGACAAATTAGAGTCATCATTCATCTCACTGTTAGAGCGATCATCAGTGCTGCTACCATTGGTAGTGTCTGCCTTTACACCACTATTAATGGCATTCCGTAATTGACTAGACATGCTCAAGTCCAATGTTCCCATATCATCTCCGGATGAAGATAGAGGAGAACAGTTGCGATACGGTGAATACAGATAAGGCATACTGGACCCATAAGGTGCAAACTGGGGTTGTTTCTCTCTACATTTTTCAGCCATTCTTTGATTCAACATCAAACGATATTGTACTGGCTCGAAAGCCATCCCCTCTCTCACTGGTGGTGGCAGTGATACGTCGGATCCCTTTCTGCTGTGCTCATCATCTGAAGTGTGTTGTTTCATTCTCATGCGGTGGTTATGGAACCAGTTGGTGATAGTCCGTACCGATAGGTTGAGTTCGTTGGCCAGAAATTCGATGGTGGCCGTGCTGGGATAAGGATCCAGTGAGAAAGCCAGTTTGAGGGCTTCCTTCTGTTCCTCAGTGAACAGAACGCGTGGTTTCTTGGCAGGAGGGTACGGGGATGGTGGTGCAAAACTGTAGCTGTTGTACATTTGACCTCCATCCGATTGGCTCCGAGGACTATCCATGGGTCCTTCACCCGTTCGACGACGTTTGTTGGCTAGAAATTTGTAAAAGAAATGGAGGAAACAATTAGCTATTAATATTTTAAGAAAAAAAATTAAGAGTAAAAATTGATTTTAATGAGTACATATAAGCATTAAAAAAAAAAAATTACGGAATCTTTCAGTTTATTGATTGATATGGGATTATATCACCACGAGATAGAATTAATTGTGTATATATAGTCCATTAGGTAGAGGACGACAGTCGTGCATAGTTTTGCTCATTCCGTAAACAACTTGTCCGTAGAGTGCTCAGAATGGAAGAATGTTGCTCTGTTCTTAATGGCTGGTTCTAACAAGTTCCATATTTTCTAAATAATATTGCGAAGTGATACGTCTACCTCTAATTCCGTGCGATAATCTATGTATACCTCTGATTCCATGAGATAATCTATGGTATACCTCTAATTTCGTACGATAATTTATGTAAACCTCCATCATGCAATTCCTACACAATTGCAGCTCAGCAAATTGCAGCTCAGTGCAAATTTAATGGGTTTGGATATTGCGGATCTCAAATGGCATCATTTTGGAAGAAGTGGATAAATGACAACATAGTAATTAATAAGTTGCAAATAATCTACAACTTCCATACCATTATACATATGAATTGAGACTAATCTCATTATTTAAAATATACCTACTGCCGTACAACATGAAAATGTTGCGGAGTATAATAGCATTTCATAACTTTTTTTCTTGTCCAATCTCAATAATAAATAATAATTTATAATAAGAGAAGTTGTGTGGTGGTATGCTTTCTTTTTTTTTTTTTTCATTAAGTAAAAAAATAGCATTTATTTTTCGTTTTAGAATAAAATAATTAAGATGAAATTTAGATATTTATTTTATCATGAGGAACAATAATAATAAAAAAATGAACTGGATATTACTGACCTTCTCTCCTTTCATTTTTGAGCGTCTGTAGCATTTCAATATTGTGCGGATCGTTCAGCCACATTTGCATTCGGATGAAGGGTTCACGGCCTTTGATGCTCAACATATGCCAGGGCTTTGGTTTTGACAAGAGTTCACTCACAGAACCCTGAGAAAGACCCAAAACTGCTTCACCAAATATCTGAAAACAGAATTCATTCCCCGATTTTAATTCGATTTCCAATGATAATAATATTCAAACTTCTCATTGAATAGATATTTATATGAAAAAGTATTTATTTTTTTATCAATATAGAATTGAACATAATCATATTTTGGAATATAAATCCGTCGGCACTTTCTTATATAAACTAGAAATTGAATGTAGAAATGCCATCACTTGTTTTGAGAAATTAAAAATCCAGTTAATTTAAAATAGACGAATAATTTTAAATAGTTAATATAGACGATACTAAATTGGAACAACTGAGAATCAATAGCAGCTGAAAGCGGTGAAAATAATTATCATAATTTATTTTATAGACAGGATTGTGGTTATTGGAACTTAAGGACCAGTTATAAAAATTCTTATTTTCATAATATAAAGATTGGAGAATTTTCTTTTTATTAGTTCTTTTCAGAAGTTCAATCCATAGAAGGCCCTGATTGTTACATATATATCGATCCTTCATCACTGTTAGACAAATTAAAATCTTTCTACATTTGTATTTAAAAATTGGTTTCCATATGTAATTTAAAAAATGTTGTCTTTTCTATGACAATCGTATTTATGCACAAATGTATAATTTCTGACTTTTTTGTAGTTTTGAATTTGAATGGCCTTAACACTGGTAATATACATTGCGACTGTTGATCTGGATCAGTCGGGGGAGTTAACACACTAGGGTTCTGACCTAGTGCAGCTAGGATCAAAGATTGGAAAGTAAACAAAATTATTTTTATGATTACGCTGAAGCTAAATCCGTAATAAATCTGTTAGCATGAAAATGGAAAGTCTTGTATTGGGCTCGAGAGGGGAATATGGCTTTCTTATATGGAGTATGGTGGCGTCAAAGATCAAAGCTGATATACCAAAATGGTGACGGCATTTTAAAATGGTTAATAAGTTTTGAGAATTTATTGGCTGATCTTAGAGGCTTAAATGCTCCATATTGGGGGAGGAAAAAAACATTGCGTTCAGCTAAAATTTTCATTTCAGACTACAAGTTTTAGAATGCAATGAAAATCATACTTTACCTTTTGTCCAATGTTGTGCGCCATAAGAGATTCTTTGATTTTTGACGTGATAGTCTGAGTATCCAAATCGGTGGTTAAAGCTGCCATCTCATACACTGAAGGTTGATTGTAGCCCCGCGTTAGGCTAGGGGTCTTCCTGCTGTGAGTCACGGAAGTATTGGAAGAGGTGACTGTCAAGGACATGGGCATGGTGTCTGGAGTACCGCACACTGAACGTGGTGTATGGTTGTGAGAAGAATACACGGAGTTGTTTTGAGAGGGTTGTCGATTTTCTGGAGTTCGTAGGTTGCTTTCCATGGGGCGGGGACTCATTTTGTTAGACCCTGGAAAAAAATGCATTTGTTATAAAAATTGATTAAGTCAGTTCTTTAACTGAAATAATGCATTTAATAAATTGATTATATTTTGGTCATAATTAAAAATTTAAACACAACGCCTAAATTTGGAAACTGGCAAGCCTGGCTAATAACTGAATATATTATAAAAATAATAAGTGTATAAAAATGTCCCATTTTCATTCTTAAGAAAATATTAAAATTTTTAACTTCAGTCGGCCTTCATTAAGTATCCACATCACCCTTTAACTACCATCCTTATACTTCGCCATAAAAGGAGGAGGCTTAAGACAGTCAACAGTATATAATGTAATTTATAATAAACTTCGTTAAACTGTTAGCGGCTTGATGGCCAATTAATTGGTAAGCGTTCTGACAGTTGGTACCGCAGGGTTCAGGCTTAAGTTCTCACGGTGGCATGGATATTTGTCAGTGGTTCTGAATCGACGTTAAACTTAGGTCTCGGTCTAATTAGCCCAAACTGTGCACAAAATGACAGTAGAGCGACAAACCAAATCGGTAAACCGTTATTTTTTTATGGTAAAAAAATAGGATGGGTGTTCATAGAGAGAGTGTTTTAAGGGTTGATTGCATTGTAAAATTAGTATATTTATGAAGTCGATTTTAAATGTATAAATATAAAATGTAAATGTCAGTCATAAAAAATTAAATTCAAAGTGTTAATAAGATAATCAAAGGGGATTGATTGAACATAATGATAATGTAACTTTGTATAAGGAATTTTAAATGTACTGATGGAAATGTGGGTTTATTGTAATTTTTATACCAATTATTTTATGCATCTTGGCTTCAGGGAAGGATATTTTGCGGTCCTTTTCATTTAGATCTCTGATTTTCAAAGCATCAGAAACAATTTCCAGAGGTACAGCAATGTTGTTTCCTTATACAAAGAAAAAATAAATCCAATAAATATTAAGCAATTGCATGCATTATTAAAAGACGAACATATTTTAAAATGTGCGAGAAAGAGAATAACATTCTTTGAAAGGGGTAAAAGAAAGAATAAGTAAACATTCATTTGATTTAATTTCATAGAAATAATTTAAACTGGTTAAGCGTATGTTAGTTGAAAGCAAGTTTTTGTATTGTTTCATTTTTCATAAATTAGTACAATTAATAAAAGCGAAAGAGCCAAGATAATTAATTAACACTTAAATGCTAGTACAAACAGGATAGGAGGACAGAATGGTGCTAATGAGAAAAATATTTATATGAAAATGTAGAAAAAATAAAAAGGCTTTGTTATACAAACCATTACTTAGTTTTTCAATAAACCACAACAAAGATATGCAATAAACTTTGAATTATACAGTTAACTTTGCAGAATATTTCTTAGAAGCAAAGTGAAATTTTATTTTGCAAACATAATTGCACGATTTTTTAATACCCTTTTTCAGTTGATAATGTTGTTGCATAGTTGTTTGTTGTTGTTGTTTCTTATCCTACTTGGCTGGCCAAGCCCACGAGCCCATACGTACTCATGATTGAAGGGGAAGGAAGCAGCTTTTGTTGTGATGGAGCACCCGTAGGTAGAAGCCTGACTTTTGCTCCGTGACGCTCTTACAGTCATAGGAGACCGGGACCTACGGCTTAAAGTGGATTCCGAACCACTATAAACATCCATGGCACCGCCGGGATTCGAACCCGAAACCTGTGGCACCGAGCGCCAGACACTCGGCCATTCAGGTCCCAAATTTGCCAACGGCACGCAGTGTTCCCAGGTGGTCACCCACCCAAGTACTGACCGCGCCCAATGATGCTTGACTTCGGTGATCTAACGAGAACCTGTTGCATAGTACATACTCTTACTTAAGCCTCAGAATCTAATGTGAGTGTTTATTTGTGTTTACAAGAAAATATAGAGCATTTTTTAAAAATTGATTTTGACAAAATGATTCTCGAAAATTAATATTATAATTACATTGCTATTATATAGACTATATTTGTCATGGTTTATTAAAAGTCATTAGTAAATAATATGGCAATGGATCGTCCAGTGTGATATAAAAGAACCTGATTTCGTATGAAATGATGAATCAAGTTATATTCTCACTTCTTCGGTGACCGTGCTAAAGAATATACCAAGCACCAAGCACTACAACCATAAGTTCCCAAAGCATTATTAATCGAATAATATTAATAAAAGAGCCTCACCACCGAAAGACATGAGGCTCTGAGGGTTGGTCGCCCCTCCGAAGCTTCCAGTCCTCATGAGCTTCTCCGGCGCGATCTTGTACTGGGAGGCCACCAGCTTGTGCACCGCATTCTCATCCTCCAGAAAGATCTTCATGCGGATGAAGGGCTCGCGGCCCTTCTGCGTGAGCATGTGCCAGGGCTTCGGGCGCGCCAGCAGGTCGGACACGGATCCCTGAGACAGTCCGAGCACGCTCTCCCCGAACAACCTCTGGCTGATGGAATACTGGCTAAGCTGCTCCTTCACCTGTTAAAATGAAAACACAAGAAGTTTTATAAACACTACAGTGGATTCACATCAATAACACACAGTTTTATTTACTTGATGTATAAGTCAACCCATGAACACACTAATACATCGAGATTGAGTCAAGATTCCTTGTTATAATACAACATTTAAAAAATAGCAATCACAAAGCAATCACACATAACACGATTTTTTTCTTACTGTACTCAACGAAAGAATCTTTTAAGAGTTACCATAAATTTGTAATGATATAAATGAATAGAATTAAACATCGGATGATATTGATGATCAAATCAAGTTCTGCTAAAAATACGTTGATTCAAGATTTCTCGGTATAATACAACATTAAAAAAAATAGCAATTACAAAATTATTCATAACATATTTTTTTTTCAATTCCTACTATTAGCTCACACTCTCCCTATATATATCTTGTTCAAATTTTCAATCGTTCATAACATACTTTTTATTCATCCACTCAAGTTCAAATACATTTTTTTTGAATTTGTAGCGGATGACATTATATATCAATATCAATATATAATTATATATCATTTAAAAATAAATAAAAATTAATTTAAAAATAAAAAAAGTTGGCTTTTTGGAAACGATTCAATTAATTATTTTAATGTGAATATATTTTGATTAAATTTTTTATGAAATTCCGTGACTCTATATAAATAATAATTACTAGAAAATACCAATAATTTCCAACTCTAAAATATTTTGAGTACAGTGAAATGCGTTTATATTATGCTCAAATTTCACAAAATAATTTTTAAAAAATGCGTGGGAAATACAGATGAAAATACGTAATCATTAATTATTTGTTAAAAATCAAATAAAAAATATTCTATAAAATTATAATAATATAATTTAAAATAATTCTTAAGTGAAGCTAATTTACATTTACGAATAAGTTATTTTTAAATTAAAATAAAAACTAAATATTAATAATTACAGCCATTTAAAAATAGTCCTCTATACACATTTAATTGAATATGTAAGCAAAACATCAAATTTGCAAGCAAGTATTGAGTTATGTAAAGTGTTATGTGTGTTTACAAGTTTATATTTTGAATCAGTTTAAAGCACGCCTTTTTATGAAATCCAATAAAGTAATTTTGTTTCTTACTTTTTTAACGATGTCTTCGGTGTTTACATTGTTGTATTGATCAAACTGTTGCTGAGTTATGGGAGGAAGAACCGCTTTAGCAGGCCTTTGGGGTGGGTTCGGCAAAGATGGCAGAGATGACTGGGAGAGTAAAGAATTGGTGATTGACTGCATTCTCTGCAGTGGAGAGGCCGACGTCGTCAAATCTTCAGAACTACTCTGGGGCGCACTAGGGCTCGAAGTCTTTGATTCAGGCAAAGGCAATAGGGCAGGTGGTGCTGGAGATGGGCTATTGCGATGACGGTAAGAAGCGGATGTTGGCGTGGATGAAGACTTAGAATTCATGGAAGAAGATATATTAGGCTCAGTTTTGGGTCTCACAAGCGAAAAGGCACTTCCATGATGTCTCATCTCGGGTTCCTCTCTACCTGAGCTGCTGTTCTTTGATTCAGATCTAGACCTGCTGCCGATGGTCGCGTCCACTGGACATTCTTGGTGACTGTTATTGACATTGTTGGAATTGTTATTCATTGTCGAATTGCTGTTGTTATTGTGGAGGTGGGATAGATTGTACGAACTGCCGTTTGTCGAAAACGGGTTAAAGTTTGGATGATGGTTGGGAGGCATCAAATGCGATAGCCTCGTGAGTTCTTGGTGGTATATCGTCAAGGCTTGTCGGATCTCTTCCTGCGTTCTCTCAAACTGATCTCTGGGTGTTCTGAAACCTTCTTCGACACGTTGTCCGATAAGTTTGGCAAGCTCCTCCTGATAAATTCTAGCTACCATTTCTTGAGGTATGTCATCGTTTTCGTATTTTCGGGATCGCCTGAAAGACTTATCGCTGTTACAAGATGCGTCTCTAGAGTTTCCATGATTCAGTTTAGAGTTCTCCCTGTCACCACGTACATCATCACAACTGTCCATGGATCGATTGTCACCATTGTTGCCGTTGGAAAGCAAGGAAGTTGGACTCTTTTGCTCCTGCTGCTTCATCATAGCCATCTGTGCCTCGTTGAGGATTTGTGCTATTCTCTCTTCCGCTCCTTGGTCGTCAGATTTGTATGAAGACACTCCCCCGCCTCCACTTCCGCCGACACAGTCTTTGCCTGGTGGAGAAGAAAGAAGGCTTGATTTTCTTTCAGCAACTGAAAATTAAATCATTTTACAAGACTGACTACAAGGGTCTAAATATATAATGAATATCCTTGAACTTATTTGAAATACTCCAGGAATGGTTAACAGGCTATCTTATGCATAAGTACTCAATTTTGACATTAGTAGTATTGAAAAATTGCATTTAGAAACTTTCTTTTTAAGCAGTTTTCTGGACTTCGCATAATTTTTCAAAAATTGAAACTTTCTTATATAAATATGTTATGTATTTCAATTAAAAATTCTTAGATACAGCACTTAATTACTTGTTTTTGTAAATTATGAAGAGGGAAAAATGAATTTAAAACTATATTTTAAAGCATTATATAGCTGAATTTAGAAAGAAAACCCAATATTATATATAAAATTACCTAAAGGGTATAATTTAAATTCATACTTTCAGAAAATTTTGAAATAGGTTATTTTGATTCATTATTTGAGTATTAATTCAAAATAATGTAAAATAAGAAAGATTTATTTGTTGCATATCAAGTAGGCCACTCCACATGTAAAGGTCACAATTTTAGTAAGATACCCTAAGATTAAGATTATTACCCTAAGATAAGTAAGATTACCCTTTGTGATGATCCATCGGTATTATTTATTCTCATTATGTGAAAAAAATGATATACTGATATAAAATATTTGTAATACAAATTGAAAATTTCCCTAAAATTACCTCTTCTTGGCACAAGAGACTTCAGCATTTCGATACACTGGTCATCAGAAGCCCACGCATGCATTTTTCGATATGAATCTCTTCCCTTTTCTGTCAGTTTGTCCCAGGGTTTAGGCTTGGACAATAGTTCACTGACTGTGCCTTGTGACAATCCGAGCACAAACTTGGCAAAAAGTCTTTGGCCAATATTGTGCACGCTCAGTAGTTCTCTCACACAACGCGCAATGTTCAAAGTGTTCAGCGTCTCGTTGGCATATTTGTCGATGTTGTGCCTCAGACATTCTTGGAGGTTGCCTAGAGATGTGGTGGTGGTGCTGCTGCTGGTGGTGGTGGTATTGTTGTTATCACAACCGACTGGAGAAGATACTTCTTTGATAGTGGGGTGGTGGGTGGTTGACGAAGGGGAAGACCTTTCGGAGGTCAGGTTGACAGCGGAGGTGGGTGAGGATGACTCCAGGATGGGGGGTGTGGGCTTTCTGTCCTCGTGAGAGTTGGTACTGCTGGTGATGGAGGTTGTTGATGAAGGTGGGTAGCAGTCGCCACTGCTTTTGGACACTGGAGAAGACGGTCGGCTGCAGACTTCTTCCTTAGCCACATTTTGAGCATAGTTGGAGACAATTTCTTGACCCAGCATTGTGCCGAAGCTGTCCACGCTGTGAAGGGGGTAGTTTTGAGAAGAACCTAGAAAAAAAGAAACAGAAAATTATTATAATCGTACCATTTATTTGAATTTTAGAAACTTTATCTTTTATTTTACATTCACTAACATTAAAGCAGCCAATTAAAATTAAAATCTTATTTATGAATCAAGATGAGGAGGTTTAGGGGTATTTCCCCCCATTGGTACTCCGTAATCGGTACGCCAGTTGCCATTATTATAATTCAAAAATTCCTGATATGTATATCTCTATGTCTAGCATTATAGAAGGTTGTTTCGATGTTACTCTGCATCAAATCGTAGCCTTGAAATCAAACAACAGATAATATATGAGGTATCTTCTTTACTTAAATTATTGATTAGTTATTACATATAAATATTATATTAATATCAAAATAAAAATTGTCAGAGGATAATTACAAATCATACAAAATAACAACATAAATATATTATTATTGAATATTTAAGTTCTTTCAAACTATTAAGAAATCATCAAAATTTAAAATAAAGAAGGAAAAAAAAAAAAAAAAAAAAAAAAAAAAAAAAAAAAACTGTTCATATACTTACCATTTTCTTCCGTTTTTATAGATTTAAGAGGAGTATTTTCTGTATGTACATGTTTGTGGTTTTCTTTCATAAGATCGGGGGGCTTGTCACTTTGATTTTTGTTTTCATCCCTACTTTCCCACGCTCTGGAGTTTACATACTCTATGGATTTCAGAATGCTGAAAAATGAAATAAATTCAG